TCGACGTTCGGCGACGACCCCGTAGGCGAGCGGCGAGGAGCCAAAAGGGGAGAAGAGAGGGTAAGAGGGATAAACATATCAGAAAACTCGACGGGGCAGAGCGGTGGTCGGCACGAAGGCACGAGACCGACGAAAGCTAGTCTTCACGCAAGCAGCGACAGACTAGTCCCAATGACCAAGTTATACATTAGCACTCGAGGGGAGATACAACGCTATGGTCACTCACCTAGTCCCAATGATCAAGAGGTCGAGATGGGGACTAGGGAGCACCTAAGGGGGTCCTTATATACTAGAGGGGCTGCTTAGCAACCAAGGACAAGGCGCGAGAGCGAGGCAGTGAAGATGACAAAGGGGGAACAAAGGGCGAGAAAGAAAAGGCAAGGGCATGGCGATCACGGGAACGTAGCATGCGGCTGTGGGAAAGTATCTACAGTGTCCAAACTGGGATGAGCTAGGAAAGGAAATGGTCCGGAAATGGAAGGTGGGCGTCAAAGGGAAGGGAATGGGCGGCAAAAAGGGGCGTCTGTCCAACGTCCGTGACAATGACCGAGCAGAGTGGTGAAGGGGTATCTTAGACATTGAATGCACAAGTTCTCTCGTGGCGATTTTCAAGTTGGAGCCTAGTTCTCGAGATATTGTAAGAATTGAAAATCTACACGAGAGAATATGTTCTACACGTCATTCCCTACAACTTTTGAGTGAGCATCCCAGGCTCAAAACGCGCTCAGAGCGCAAAAGAATGTAAGCGCCGTGCCCACTGGGAAGGGGGAGAGGATTAAGCGCCTCTCAGCCACCGACCAGAGCGGTAGTGGTCGCTGTGCCTTCGGCATCAGCAAAAGTGTAAAAATCTTTTGCCGTATTGCCCGTTCAGGCAATACTCAGCGAGAGCGCGCAATATACGTCAGATCATGCGCTGTCATGGGTGGTCTTGCAATGTCGTAAATATATTGCAAGACCTTGCAATATCCTACAAGACCAGGCAATATCGGCAATACTGGGCAATATTTCGCATTATTGCAGGTATTGCGAGGTATTGCCGGTATTGCGCGCTCTCGGAATACATTTCCGGTATTGCAAGACCATGCCACAAATGGCGCTTCAGGCAATGTTTGCAATCCTGTAGGATATTTTTACACTTTTGCTGATGGCTCATGTCCTACAAGTACTGGAGTGAGCCATGCTCATCTCGGCCAAGCGAAACAATTCACAATGCATATAATACTTCTTACACATCTGTACTACGGTTTATCCTGCCTGTGAGGGGAACAAACCCTTGGAAGTCCCATTATACCACTAAGATCCTCGAGAGCGCCTCATCGGAGTCGAACATCGAGGTCGGGTAGATGAGAGCGGAAGACTATCTCTGAGCGCTATCGTTATATAAGCAGAACATCGGCTAGCGGGCGCTGCCTATCCCCACATATGTACTCCCGCCCAAGCCGTCCAGTCACTCCAGTGCTCCATATCGGGAATTGCCGAGGGCGATGCATGGTCCATTCGGGTTTCGCCGATCTATGTCGGTGACATGGCTTCCTCTGTGAGGGACAATTTGTTCTGTTATGCAGGACATAAAAGCGCAACAAGTCCCCTGCGTTCACCTATCCTCTTAACCTGACGGCGGATTTGGGAAGGCGGCAATGACGGACGAACGCAAAGATGTCCGACAGAACCGCTTCGTGCTGTGAGCATTGTCGCCGCCGTTGGACCGTGGCGCCCTGGGGCTATACATGGAGTTTAGCTTGTGGAGTATGTTGTCCACCTTCAGTGCCAGAGACTGAGACTGGCACAACTAACAAGCTGCTACATGTTTGTCAGTCAACCTCCGACCGGATCGACGTGGACGAGATATTCACCAAGCTTGAGGAGGCCCACGTAAGTCCTTGCCGCCACGTGGACTCACCCATTTTTCTAATGACATGCTATCCCGAAAACCAACGTGTAGGCAACGTGTAGGAGGCGACAGTCACCTATCGCTAATGCATAGATAGCTGGTCCGCTGAAGATAGGATCACCGCTGTCACGGCACTACTGTTTTCTGGCTATCAGCCTGAAAAGAAGACCGCGCAGTCAACGTGTCGAAGAGCCACGACCGGGCTTTCAAGATCCACCCCGGCTAACCTCGGTAATTTGTCTTCGGCATGGAAGTTGAGCATAGTGGGACCGATGAAGCGATGAAAGCCGACTCTCCGTGGTCGTTCTGATTTTCTAGCTTATAAGTAACCCGGTCCCTTGTAGTGTTCCAACATCACATCTCTCGCTGCTTGCCAGTCTCGCTGATTGGTAGGTCTGATTTCTTCCTTGCTGGCGACTTTACTCTGTTGCTGAACGGCCTTTGCTTTAAAGCTCATCGGACGCACTTTCCTGTCTCCAACACATATCGTCATCCACTCCACAGGTGTGTTATTCCTTCTGTTGTCTCTTCTCTTCGTATAGCTCATGTCGTTATAATTTGTGATGCGCCTATTGAACACCCGAACTGGCGAGTTTGTGTGGGTCGATGACCCGCGAACAGTCCAATTTGCTATTCTATCTCACGTCTGGGTAAGAAAAGGCAGCCCCAACTATCCCGAGCAAACATACCAGGACCTTGTTCAGTTGCACCTCGTGAAGGGGAAGCATGGCGAATCCGTTCTTCCATTCCTCTCTGACAAGGTGCGACGCTTCCTCGAGATCGCCCAAAACGACGGCTTCGAACTCGGCTGGGTTGACTCGTGTTGCATTGACAAGACTAGCTCGTCCGAGCTCTCTGAGTCCATCAATTCTATGTTCAATTGGTACGGCTACGCTGCCGTTTGCTATGCATTCCTGCACGACGTTACGGCCCCTGGTTCATCGGATGCCGTCGTCTGGGAGAGCGAATTCCGGGACAGCGAGTATTTCCACCGCGGCTGGACACTACAGGAGCTCATCGCATCTAGTATTGTTATCTTCCTTTCCAATGACTGGAAGACCATTGGCTCGAAGCACACTCTCGCGCCCCTCATAGAGGAGATCACCAAAATCGACAGCGCCGTCCTCACTTTCGACAAGCCGCTCGAAGCTGTTCCCGTCGCGCGTCGCATGGCGTGGGCAGCAACGAGGGTCACCACTCGGGTCGAGGATGAGGCGTACTCGATGATGGGCATCTTCGGTGTCAACATGCAGACCAATTACGGCGAGGGACGATATGCCTTCAAACGCCTCCAGGAGGAGATTCTCAAGCGAACCCCGGATCAGACAATCTTTGCTTGGGGTCGCTTTCTGTCCAACTGTGCATTCACGTTCGCAAACGCAGAGCGCAGAGACATATCTTCCACGCCTCACCTTCCAAACACTCCATTCCCGAAACAGTACCTCTTCGCATCGTCACCCAAGGACTTCAAAGACTCTGCTGATCTCATCCACCTCTCGCGCGATGAGTTCGCGCGCAGGCTCGGAATCTCCTCAGAAGATGACGCTTACCAAGTGTTCACGCCCACTCCCTACGGGATGCAGACACGTGTTCCCCTCGTCGCCGTGTCTTTGACGGATCCCCACTCAGATGCCCCCACTCAGATGCCCCCACTCATCTTGCGCTTCTTGCTTGTGAGGATCCTCACAAGGGATTACTGGCACTTCTCTTGCACCGACGAGGCCATGCCTCCCAAGCGGAGTACTCTGTTGGGACCATCGTCGGTAGCATCCGTGACCTCGTGGGCTCGGATGAACCTTTCTCTGCATCGACGCTCTGGTCCAACTACAACCGCGCTACGTATGTGTCCGACGAACTTCTTGACACTCTCCGTTCCTCCTTGCGCATGACTGGCGTATACATCCCTCACTATCCCTCTCACAACGCCAACCTTCTTGAACGCGACACGCCCATCCATGCCGAGCTTCGCGAGTCGCGCCTTGGCGACCGGATCGAAATCCGCCTTTCCGCTTGGTCCCGCAAACTACTCTTCATGCAGGGATATCGTGTCTCCCCCGCCGCCAAAGAGGATGACCCTCTCCCCCAGCGTCCGCTGACGCGCACTTTGTCGGAGTCATCTACCATAGGAGTATTAAACAGCACTGGGGACTATGTCGCTATCAAGGTCGGGCGTTGCAGCTGCGACTTTGGTGAGAGTATGGGGCTGCTTGGTGTCCTAGTTTCTCCGCGAGACGGTAGGATTGTCAACGGCGCTCGGCTCGGGGACCAACACTCGATCAATCATCCCGTTCACATCCGCTCTTGGTGCTTCCGCAGCGGCACCGCTTCGAAGGAGTTTTCAATTGAGACTCAAGCAGGAAGAATGCTCACGCTGCGGCTTTCGCTGACCCGGGACTCTGCTATGCCCAGCTCTGGCGGGGATAATCCGAGACCCTCGAGGTACCGCCTAGGCGTAGAAGTGCGCTCGAACAGCACAGTGCCTTCTCCGGTGTCCCATGGCTCCGCACTGCCTTTGCCAGCCATCAAAGGTTTCCAAGAGCCATACCCTACTTCCCAACTTCCGCATATGTACGCCAATCACGGTAGCCCTCGGTCGCACGCCTGTCTAGGATCGCATTTGCCCAGGAGCGAAATGCTGTCGGTTCCGAGTCGGACAGGTTCTCATCATTCCGGGAGCAGCATGACAATGCGGAACAGTTCTGACACTCTCCTTGAGGCTGAGCGTATGTGGCCGCAGTCTCCTGAGAGTATTCGCGTGCACGCTCCCTCGAATGCCGCACAGGACTCAAGACACGCGACACACTCGCCTTCTCCGTCGCACCGGGGCGGAGTCCCTCGCGTGCTACGCGAGCCGTGGGCTGACTACGACAACGAGGGACGGCACCACCCAGCTCGCACGCGTAGGCGCAGCGCCCGCCGCCACGACTCCATCGCTTGGGAGCATGGACGTCGCCCCGACTCCGATGATGACTATTCCGAGCAAGAGTCCGAGCCTGAAAGGCAGTCGTTCGATGACGGCCCACATGAAGAGGACTGCCCCAGTCCGATGCTGCCCGAGGAGCCAACGTGTATACGACTGCCGTCGACACCAAGACCCGAGGACGTGCGCTTCGTAGGGCAGGACGCAGCCATCTACCAGGAATCCAGTTATCTCCCCACTAGGATTCGAGTTCGGAAAGGCTACACACTACCGACGCATCCTTACATCCAGCCAACCGATACCGATACGAGAGCTTCCGGTGGATGGAATACTTCAGCGCCAGGTATTCCTGAGGAACCCCCTAGCAGGCACTATTCGCCGAGCTATGAAGCACCTGATGTCGATGACGCGCATCGTGCAGGTAGACGACTGCACGAATCCCGGCGTGGTACACTCCCAGACCACTGCAGGCATCCGCCCGCATTCGATCACCCGCGCACAGTAGACCCACGAGCGGACAATGTTGAAGGCACTCGCGGACCGATCCGTATACGGACATCAACGCGAGACGGTCCCAACCGTGCTGTGCGGCGGGAGCCGCATATGATGTAGATATTCGCCGCCCTCGGATAGAGTTTGCACGAGTCTTTCAGAATGTGGAGCAAGAGGACGAAGGAGGGTTAATACTCCATTTCAACGCAAGTGATTCTCAGAAGAACCACTTTCTAGCCCGATTATCACTTATCACTTGGCTCATGAGAACGCTCTTGTTACCTTGTTCAATCCCGGCATCTATTTTTCAGATCGATATTGACGTTGGGTCGACGGGCGTTGGAGGGCGAGCTGAGGCGGCTCCATTCCGATGGGCGACCCAGCCAAATTGGCGGACCCACAGCATCATGAGGCTCGGTCCATTGAGTCCGATCCGGAGTCGTTCGTGGCCCCTCGCTGTCACACTGCACCTCCTAAGTTAGTTAGTGCATGCTCCCGGCTATAGCTGATCCCCTTTTCCCTTTCCCAAGACGTTGAAATCTTCACGAATTTGGAACCACAACGATCACAACCCCGTAGACACGCTTTGGAGTGTTTAGCGGGCCTTCGACCGGGACGTACGGAAAGAGAGCCCTTCGCATGTCGCCGTACAAGTACGTAAAGGGCGACGGAACAGCTTGCAGGATTGCGAACGAGTACTCCCGCGCCATTAGGAGAGCACTCTGGAGCAGGCAAAGGCGCCAGCGACAATTTGGGGCGGTCTCCTGTCACTGTATCAACTCCAGTCTGGTCCATCGTGTGTGGGACTCCGTCGGCGTTCGCTAGCGTGCATGAACTGCATCTACATGGGCGCTCAGATCAGCGAATGGCGTGTGTACCAACGTGAATTCCATTCAAAGGGCGCTGTTCATGAACACAGTTTTGAGTCGTCAGTCTCGTATCGAGGTAAGTATGCGCATCTCCACATCACGGCATCGCGTGCGGCCAAGTAAGTCATCGCTCCGTCTACCCCTCTTGGCCCTCCTCCTCGACCTCGAAGGCGCAGCAGAACGTCTCCCGGTCCAGCAACACCATCCCCTTCCCGTCCGGCGCCCACCGCAAGTCCCGCGTCTCGAACTTCTCTGTAGCGCGCCAAGGCGTCCATTCAGCTTCCATTGTCTTACGCATCCATACGAGAGAGGACACTCACGCGCAGGTACCCCGACGCATTCCGCCACCTCGGACTCCCCGTCGTCCTCTCCCGCCGCGCGCGAGTCGGGCTCGGACACCCACTCGTCGCTCCAGAGGTACACGCTCTGGCTCCCGCACGCGACGGCGAGACGGCCCGCCCGCCCGGGGTCGGGGTTCCACCGCGCCGCGGTGACGGGCTGTGTGTGCAGAAGGACAGTGCGGAGCTGTGGGATGCCGACTTTCTCTGGGGGTGTGGTTGATGCATTCGTAGACGGCGATGCAGAGGAGGGGGTGCCGGGGAAGTCGTAGAGCAAGACGGTGGTAGGGGATGCGCCGGAGCGCACGAGGAGCAGCGTGCCGGAGGTGTTGAATGCGAGCTGCGTCGTCCCCGACATCGAACCTGAGCCGGAGCCTGAGGCGAGCCCGAGGCGGCCGGATGCGGCGCGGGTGGTGGGCTTTGTGGGCTTTGTGCGCACGTGGGAAGCGGAAGTGGGGAGGGTGAAGGGAGGCTGTATTCGCTCGTCTGTAGAGAATGATGATTCTTCAGATGGACATAGTAGGGAGGCGGAACACTTACAGGAAAGAAATCCTCGGCCATGTGTTGCATCCAGCCAACCTGACGGTTCGCGCCAGATACGCTGCGGAAATGATGTCAGAGTGTCTGTAAAGGTTCATATCACAATGCTCACCACGCCAGCGGGTATTCGAGTGGGTAAGTCAAGCGTAGCGAGAGGATTCCAAGTAAGACTCTCCAGGATGTGCACCTAGAACGTTTCGTTTCGTTGTGGGTTTTGACCGTGAACGCGTTACGGCGAGCGCACCTTGTCATCCGATCCGGCGACGGCAAGGAACAGTCCAGAGGGATGCCAGGAAACCATCCTGATACCAAAACCTGGGTCTGGTTCAGGGCAGAACGTGCCTACAACGTTGCCTGCCAAAGTCACAATATAGAGCTTATACTAGAGATAGGTATCAGCAACTATTACTCCATGAGAGGGTGGGGTCAATGGCGAACGCACTTCAAGTGGACCCTCCCAAACGGCAAGGTAGTTGCCCGTCGGCGAGAGGGACAGTGAGGAGAGGGAGCCCGTCGGTAGCGGGAAGTGCTGCAGCGGGAACGCGTGCCGTGACCGATAATGGACGAGTGGGACATACAGTATGATGTCATGTCATGAAACCGCGCATGGGCGCACGGATTGACGGGCGACGCACCCTGACGAGGCGGTATGCTTCGTGTGCGTCGTACACACCGAGGGTGTCCTTGGACTTGTGGCGCTCGGCAAGCACAAAGTAGCGCGAGTCTCGCCGAAAGGCATAGCCTGCGTCCACATTTGAGCAAAGGTTTTGTGTCAGTATTAGCACCCGGACACTATAGTTATCAGACGTACCGCGATCTGGGTGTATGGGATACTGGATGTAGGTCGCAGCGCCCGTCACGAGCGACCACATTGTCACTCGTAGCTGCAACACAGGTTGCACGAAATGCAGTCTGTTTAGTTGGGATAGGAGGAGTCCACTGCAAAGACTTACGCCCCACTCGGAGAAGCACAGGACTGTCCGTCCATCTGGTGCCCACTCCGCCTTCACCAGACCCTCTGACCCCGCCTCGATCCTGGCGCTCCACGTTTCGTCCCTGAGCTTGAAGACACTGACTACTCCGCTCTTTGCACACGCACCAAGAACATATTCAGAGTCGCAGGACCACCCTGCATGCGTGATCCACGCGCTCGAAATAGTCTCTCCTGATCTATCCCTCAGAGATGATGGGCCGGCAATGACAGCGTTGGACAATGCAGCAGACGTCGGTGAAGGCGTAGAGTCGACGAGCCAAGTGCGGGCGATCTGGAAGGAATCTGAGCGGCGGACGATGAGACGGTCTTGGACGGCGGTAAGGAGGAAGTGGGTGCCCGGACTGAAAGAAACAAGAGAGGCTGTCTGCTTGTATATCTCGGTGAAGTCCATCACGGATCGTCCTCTGAACGGCTGAGATGCGATCGCATTAAGGACGCTGGCGAAGGCGATGGTGGAGGAGCAGAAGGAACTTAGGAAGACGCGTGGGGACGCGCACGCGACAAGGCGCGCCCCCGGACACGCGACGCGCCGCGTTACAGCCGGTTTCAGCTCGCCTGTCGTGAGAGCGCCGCGCCGCGTCTCGTCGTTTCCCCCCTCCTAAGCGCCCCCAAGCAAACTTGGGACGACGATACCTCCTCGACTGCTCAACATATTCATCTCTTTCTTGCATATTCTGACTCAGGGATGCGACGCGCAGGGCACGGAATCAATGTGGCCGCTCGTATATCGGACGTTCCACTCGCCTTCGGTCAATTTCACGCCCTCTTCTGCATCTGTCGCGCATATATCCTTGGACAACCCATGGAGATACCCAGAAGGCTCACTGGAAGCTGTTGGCGGATGTTACGGAGGGCATATGGTGCAGAAGAGGCCGATATGTACGTATTCTATATTCTGCGAAGGGTTCTGGTGCATGTCTAGTATACCACTCTGTCGTATATCGTCAAATCCAACACGTCTTTGCTACGAAACATGTCACATATGTCCACCGTAAGCCTACAAACTCATGCAATTGTGCCGGTTGCCAATTGTAGTGTTCTACAAGCTCTCCTTTGCAGCTGCAATCTACCCACCTCGTCTGTTCGTCCCTCCTACTCAACAGTGACTACATGGCCCCCGATGCCTTGCGAGACCACAGATATTATGGAGGTGCAAATTACTCACAAACTCATGGTGTCTGGTGCTCCCCGACGAGGACTTTGAGCTGGCCCAAGAGGGCTGCCACCTGAGCCCACCCTATGGTGGACGTGATTGTCGCTGGACACCTCGCCTTTGAACACAGAGCCCTTGGTAGTGTCTTTTCTTCACCATCCCGACTGTTTCTGGAAGAGTACACGATGCCATTCAGACAACAACGCTGTCTGAGTCCAGTAGGGAGTTGGAAGAGCAGGAATGCCCAGAAGTTGGTGACATCGGGTTGGCGCGACTTCAATCCAATACCGTGCCCTGCGCGTCATGATCCTGAGCCGGAATATGCAAGAATGAGGTGGCTACATTGAGCAGTCGAGGAGATATTGTCGTCCGAAGTTCCATTGGGGGCGCTTAGGAGGGGAAAACAGGCAAATGCGCGAGACGCGGCGCGACGCTCTCGCGACAAGCGAGCTGAAACCGGCTGTAAAAGCAAGTCCAGACATGCCTACGAGCCGCCACACTACTAATGTAGTATCCACCAGCTAATCAGGCAGCTGGAGTGGATATTGCTCATGACAAGGAGGGCTAGAGGAGACAGCCAACCCCGGGTCGCTCACGGCCTTTGCGGGTGGGCCGTCGAAGAGATCAGGCATTGAAGATTGAGATATCCCTTGATCGTGCAACAGACGACCTGCGCCATCTCCAATACCATAGCGTCTACGTGTACGTCGAGGTCTGATCAGTGATATATGTATGGCTCCCTTGTTTGTGTCCGAGCTGCAATCATCGGCGGATTCAAAGTTCGTGACCCGAAGGTCCTTCGGCAAAGGGAGCGCCCCCAAGGCCGGTTGTTGCCGAAGGTGCGGGAACTGCCGGCACGCGGACGGACGGTGACGAGACTGGTTCGGACGACGACCAGCACATTTCCTACGTCCAGCACGCCTTCCCTTTTCCCCCTTCGTCCTCCTCGTCACCGCCATGTTTGCTGCTTCTGCACGCTCTGCAGCTCTCTCCGCTGGTCTCGGACGCCGCGCGGCGAGCACCATCGCGCAAAAGTACTCAAGCGCCGTCTTCTCCGCCGCGCTCAACAAGTCGCCCCAGGTGCTGAGCAAGGTCCAGACGGAGCTCAACGCGATCCAGTCCGCCGTCAAGTCCAACGCCGAGCTCTCATCGTTCATCCACAATCCCACCCTCTCCACCAAGGACCGCTCGGCCGGCCTCCCCGCGCTCTACGCCGCTGCTGGCAAGGAGGGCGTGTCGGACATCACGAAAAACCTGTTCATCGTCCTCTCTGAGAACGGCCGGCTCGTGGAGACCGAGGGCGTGATTGAGGGCTTCAACGAGCTCGTCGCAAACTACAGGGGCGAGCTGAACGTTACCATCACGAGCGCGGCGCCCCTCCCGAAGGACATCCAGACGCGGTTGGAGACCCTGCTGAAGCAGTCGCAGGCTGCGCAGCAGGCCAAGTCGCTGAAGATCACCAACAAGGTGCGTGCAAACTGCTTCATTGATGATGGACTGATGCAAACATGAACGCTCCGCTCCGCAGATTAATCCCGCTGTGCTCGGTGGTGTGGTTGTCGACTTCGGTGAGAAGACTATCGACCTCAGCGTCGCGTCGCGTGTCAACAAGCTCAACAACCTCCTCTCGCGTATGTTCTTATGTGTTCGCACTCACTGCAGTAAATTCTCATTCATGTCGCCAGAATCCGTATGAGCTTAGTGAGGTCGTGTTTGGGGCATATAGTAGGTGCTGGTGGAACAGCTGTCCTGCAAAAGTATATGTTATACTCGTTGCGGACGCTCAATGCATAGATGTGCACAGCATTTTATGTCTGTTTTCTTCACATGGGATTGGCATTTTGCCCCCCGGGTGGGAACCCACGACTCGACTCACAAGAGTTTTGGTCCTTCCGAACAACTCCCTGCTGGCCGCTGTCACGTAGCATGTCACGACGGCAGTTTGCGCCTAGAGCCGTCGTGAGGTCTGAAGGAACATAGACAGGAGATTTGTAGGTGAACCTAGAGTGGCGTGTGAGGACCATCTATCAACGACACATACAAGTAGCTAGGGCGGCATGAACGCGTCCAATCATGTCTGAGGTATGTACATGGTCCCTGGTCCTCTGATCTCATTCCCGCTCAAAACGTCTTCCTTTGTGCTGCGGTAGTCTTACAGGGGCTTCCCGACCACGTTGTTGTCCGCCTATAGCAAGGCGTTCCTGGACGAGCTATAAGCTTTGCAGCGCCTTTCATGAGGCCTCGTGTGGGGTATATGAGTCTCCGCGAACGGGTTCCTCTCGCTATCTACCCATCTTGCTCCTCCCTCGTTCTCCTACTCGTCTCACCATGACGGCTTTTGGAGAGCGTGTAGATCTAACCGCAAACTTAGCCTCCATCCTCAGACGATATCCATTCAGCACTGGCTTGTTTCGTGAAATACTGCAGAATTCCGATGATGCGCGTGCGACGAAGCAGGTAAGTAATTGTTAATTGATCCTATGTCGCAGGCGCTTATCAGCGTCCTCTGGTCGTCGTAGGTGTTTGTGTTGGACCGACGGCAGTTTGGCACGAAGACTCTGATCAAAGACGGTCTGAGTCACTTGCAAGGCCCTGCCTTTCTTGCATACAATGATGCCGTCTTCTCCGACGCCGATTGGGAGGCCATTCGGACTGTCAGCGAGTCGTCCAAAACCGGGGACACTGAGTGCGTAGTCCGCTATGATATTTTGTCGAGTGGTGGGTCTGATGGTGGATGTCAGGAAAATCGGAAAGCATGGATTAGGTTCTCGCGCTTACTATCACGTATGACATCTGTTCCGTGGTCTCTCTGTCTGCTGTACTGATACATATGGTACAGCTCACCGATAATCCGCAATATCTCTCCGGCGGCTACCACGTTGTCTTCGATCCCCATAGATGGGCCTTCGGTCAGGGGGGTTGGAAGCAGTCGCTGGAGGAGATCGCGCGGGACTACCCCGATCAGCTTGAGCCTTTCAGTTCCCTACTCCCTCATGGAGATCGCACGAGTCTCCCAGGAACAATTGTTCGTCTTGCCCTGCGCCCTGCGACGGCAGCGAGTCGGATATCGAGCAAGAAGGTGACCGCGGACGAGATTCACGATCTCCTCCTGGACTTCGTTCGGAAGGAGTTAGACGTCGCGTTGCTCTTCCTCTCCCACCTCACCTGTATTGAAGTGAGGGAAATTGGCGTCGACGGTGCAGCCAAAACGCTAGCGTCAGTTACTGCAAGCTTGCGACCCCCGGTCCCCAGACTCTACAGCCGTACAATCAGTACTACTATCGAAGCCTCCGCCTCCACCACTCGGGAATGGTCTATCATCCACGCGTCCTTCGAGATGGAAGAAGGCGTCGAATTGCTGTGCAAGTCGCTGGAGGCTAGCAAAGAGTGGGTCGAAGGAGAGGTCGTGCGCGAGAAGCTTCGTCCCAACGTAGCGCTGGCCTTCCCTACCAATGCATCGCAGGGGTTCCGTGGCCGGCTTTTCACATATCTCCCTCTCCCCCTTGTCACCGGCTTCCCGTGCCATATCCATGGCGTCTTTTCCCTCACCGACTCACGCCAGAACTTGCGCAACCCCTCGGAGACCATCATGCGCGAAACCGCAGACGCGTACGTCGTTCCGTATCATCTCGCCAATGCACACTAATATCCTCTACTTGCAGGCTCGCAGTGGCATGGAACAAGTTGCTGTTCAACACGCTGATCCCTCGCACATGGCTGGAGTTCCTCGAAGGCATCGCAGCCGGACTCTCGCCTACGTCCCTGTACGACTCACTACCTCCGCTTCAGGACCAAAATACGAGCGGCGATGCGATGTACTGGACGTCGCTCCTTCGCGATCTCGTCAAGCTCGCTGACGAGCGCGTTGCAAGAATTTGGCCTGTGTTCGGTCTTGCGGGTCCGCCTCAGGCCATGCGTTATGCCTCTCTTCAAGATGTACTCGTTGCGGGGTCGGGAGATGATCAGACGCAGCTGCATGCGCTCGCTAGGGCTGGTGTGGACATCGTCGTACCTCCATCGGAGCTCCGCCGCGTCCTGCTGGACATCCGTTCCGCGCAGGAGCTCACGCCGACCAGTGCGCGGCCGAGGCTAGTGGTGAGTTTGTGTGCTGCTCTGTCCGTGGCCTCTAGTTGACGAGACCGTGCAGGCTTCCGAGAGCCTTCGCAGCCTCTCCCCGCACGAGAAAAATCGCGTCGTCGAGTTCCTTCTCAGGTCGCATGATCTGCGGGAGCTAATTGACGTTCCTGTCTTCACTCTGATCTCTGGTGTGACTGCTGCTTTGCAGGCCTATCGCAGGGATCAGCAGGTCGTGCATGTGCTTTTGGACGAAGCGGCCACGGAAGTGTTCGGCCAGTTCGGTACGAATGCTATCAGCCTCCGCGACGTGCCTCCGGTGGCGTGTACGCTTCTTGTGGGCAGTGGTCGTGGAGCGCTCAACGTCTGTCCTCTTGACCGCGATACAGTTATTGCCTACATTCAGTCTGCGCGCAGCGACTTTGCTTCTTCTAAGACTTCCACGAATAGCGCATGGTCTTGGGGTGAGACGGTTGGATGGCTTGAGAAGTTTTGGACTTGGATCCAGACCAGCTCCTTGGCTGATGGCCTCCAATCTGACCTCAGGCAACTTCCTCTGCTCCCCACGATCGCTGGCGAGACGCGATCGGTCGAGGATCAAGTCTTCTCGCATTCCTGCGAGGTGGCCGACCTCGTTCGAAATGCCTTGTCAAACCTTGGAGTCCACGTACTGGATGCTCGCATTCCCTCCGCGTACCTGGAACGGCAGAAGTGGATCAAGTCGTTGTCCAAGGCCTCGGAGCTGCTAGACGTTTTCTTCACCGTTTCGCTGGTGATAGAGGACGATCACGTGGCGAAGATCCTCCGAGCCCACCTTGCAAGCTGCCTGAGGGATGACGTCAGCCTCACTGGTACTCAGCAAATGACATTGCGCGAGCTTCCTATTCACCTCGTGCTCACCGACAATGTATCCGAGAGTATGCAACCCCTACCTCCGAACAACAGCCTCCACTGTGTCGACAAGCGTCACGACATCGCCCTACCCTTGCCCCTCATTCCGGACGCGACCTTCATCCATTGTACCACAGACCAGCGGCCACTCATCGAGCACCTTGACTACTCTGCCGTTACGCGTCCCCTGACCATGGACCGTCTCTTGCAGCTGCACGCAGATCATTTCTCTATGCAAACCCCCCACGTGCGCATCAAGGTCTTGAGGTATCTCGTCGAACGTAGGTCCGTCCCGAAGCCTTCGATCGCGGAGAAGCTCTGGAGCTCGCCGATTGTACTGGTCGGCCAAGGGAACCGCTTCCTTCCTCCCAAGGATGTTGTAGACCCACAATCTGAGATTGCAGATATCGTCCCACCCTGGGACCCCGACGCTATCTGTCGCGATGATTCCGCCAACTCGGAGACAACCTCGTTACTTGCTGCCTTGAACCTTCTTCGCCGCAAGCTTGATGTAGACTTTGTGGTCGCTCGGATCAGCTCCATCGCCCACTTTGATCCTAGTAGCGAAAAGGGATCCGATCTCGCCAAGAGGTTGTTGTCTGTCATGGACCGAACATGGTTCAACTGGTCCGACGTCTCCTACGATCGTGAACTTGCGTGGCTTCCTACCACGTCGGGCTTGCGGAGGCCAAGCGACTGTCGCGACCAATCTCACGGCATGCTCTGTGACCGCGTTCTACCCATCCTTGATATGCAGCAGCTGCAATCGGTTGTTCTGCGCCGTATGCTTGGCTGGGACGCTCCTGTCCCGTTGGAAACTCTCATGGAGCAGTTCCGGATGATACTCGCCGAACCCGAGCACCCGTCCCATCCGCAGTATCTCATCGCGCTGACGTCGGAATTCGGCCGGCGATTTGGAGACATGACCTCTGCTCAGCTAGATGACGTCGCCGCCATGGCTCGTCAAGCCAGATGGGTGATGACTTCGGGAGGGGTGCTCAAGCAACCAGCCTTCGCTGTTTTCAAGCTCTCCGTGGCATTGTACGGGTTCGGCCAGATCCCGATTGACATTGCGGAACGTCATGGCGTCGAGAAATTCCTTACCCGCATGGGCTGCACGCAAAGGTGAGTTGTATGGATTTTCCAGTACGTGTAGCTAGCACTAACAACAATGCGAGCAGACCCCATAACGATGCAATCATCGACCAGCTGAGACAGCTGCACCAGGCGCAGGCACAGGCGCAGGCCTCGGGGCTATCGGACGGAACGGCGCTAGAATGCGTCCTGTTGTTGCAAGCTCTCGACCATGGTTCACTCACTTCTCTACAACAAGAACGAATCCTGGCTCCTGATGTCCATTCTCGCCTTCGTACGGTACAGGGCTTGTACTACAATGATCTCGGCTCCCGCGCCATTCGCTACGACATCCCGAACGATCGTATCCAAGCTCACAACAACATGCCCCACGCCCTCTGCATTGCATTGCAAATTCCATCCCTAGGTTCATTGCATCTGCAGCCACTTGATCTCGGCTTTGAGGACATGCGGGAGGACCTTACTACGCGCATTGGGAACGTCTTGCGGGCCTACAACATCCAGCAGGCGTTCAACGAGTTTCTCGCAAATGCTTCTGATGCAGGAGCCAGGAAGTTCAACATCATGCTTGACTGTAAGGAAGATCGCCGAGCTGATCCCTCCGAGGTGCTATGCGAGAATATGGCCCAATTTTGCAGAGGTCCGGCACTCGTCGTGCACAATGACGCTGAGTTCACGATGGACGACATTCGTGGCATTTGCCGTGTCGGGCGAGGCGGAAAAGAGGGCAAGGAAGATACAGTGGGACGGTTCGGGCTCGGATCGCTCTCTTTCTATCATTTCTCGGAGGTATGTATGCTCGCTCCTTAACGCATATGACTCTACCTTGAATGTAGTATATGCTGATTGCGTCTTTCCAACGTCCTAGGTCGCCATGATCCTCTCGGGCTCGAACATATTGTTGCTAGATCCAAGCGGCCGTTTTCTCCCTGAAGACTGGAGGTGGAATTCGTACGCAGTATCGCTGGAGAAAATCAAAGGGTACGTATCGCTGCCTCTACTCGAGAAACTGCGTACCGACTCCGTTTCAGTCTCTATCCTGGGCACGTTCGGCTCTTTCATGACCTCTTCGGCTATCAAGGAGAGGACCACTACCAAGGGGTAAGTCCCAAACTAGCCTGAAGAATATGCTGCATTGACTGACAGCTTTGGGAAAGACTATCATCCGGTTGCCTTTGCGAACGGATGCACAAGCTGTTCAAAGCGCCCTCTCAAGACGCTCGCTTTCCACCTGTGACGTGTCGGATATGTTGGAGAGGTATCAGGCAGTTGCAAGTCGTTCTCTCTTCTTCATCGGGATTGAGGAGATCACCGCGTCGGTGAACCAATATGGCAGAAGAGCACCAACCGAGATTTGGTCCGTCACCGCGAAACGTATAGAAGACATCGTCTCCAGTGGGAGTGCCAACCCCCGTCTTCTCATTGATCTCAGCCACTCTTCCCAACCCCTTGGGTGCAAGACGTCTAGTTGGCTCATTGCGACCACCGTGATTGCTCCGGAATCTTTCCCTGATTGGGTCCAATCCGTTGTCGACAGACACCGCCTCAAGCAGGTCAGCATTGCTTTAGCCGCCAAGATCTCCGCGGTCGAGAGAAATTACCTAGAGCAACCGTCCTCCGAGTTCCATTTCTGCTCCTCCTTACCGTTGCCTATTAGTACGTGCCTTCCCATGCATGTCCATGCGTCGTTTGTGCTCGCAGACGATAGGCGGAACATTCGGTGGGATGGGGATGGGATGCTCTACCCAGAGGCCAAATACAACCACTGGCTCCTGTCGTGCATGCTCCCTCCTCTCTATCTTCAAATGTTCGCTCTTTTCAACGAACGTTTTGGCGACAAAGCACCTCTGCCTTGGCCAGGAAACCTCGAACGATTCACTGATCCATTCTCCAAGACCCTCGTCGATGCCTTCTTCAGCGACAATCTCCTTCGTGCAACTCCGCAACGCATCTTTCGTAGCGTCACTGGCCGACTGATTGATCCTTCGACAGCGGTCGTGCGCGGCGGGGAGCCGCAGGCTGTGAAGGACGTCCTCGATGAACTTTGTCCAGAAGACCTTGTCAAATTACCTCCCTACATTCGTTCCAGGGTCCTGAACCTTCCGTTCATCCGAAAGACATCTCCTCAGTACCTCTGCGATCTCATCGCTACTCGCACGCTGCACTTCCTGGACGCTTACAGGAGACATGCCTTGACAGTGGCTCATGTCGAAGCCGTCATTCGATATCTTCTAGCGGAGTCGCCTATGCCTACCTCCAGCCTTGTTGGCTTGCCGCTGCTTCCTCTCGCTGATGGTAGCTTATCGAGCATCAGGGCGGAAGGAGCTCATGAGGACCGGGTCTACACATTACCCAGGGGTGAACGACCATGGCCTCTCTTTCCTGCTACTCGCTTCCTTGACCCTGAGCTTGACAAGGACCTTATCCTGAAGAAAAGTTGGAATGTGGCTTTGTGGGACAAATCTGCTGTCGCCGCTCTTCTACGGTCAACGATCCCTGAAGCCCCACGCCTCGAAGCTTCCGAGAGCGAGTGGTACTGGATCGTAGCTTTCTGGAGATTCTTCCAGTCTGTTTCGAAAAAGTTGCTCACTGCACTCAAGTCTTTCCCTCTCATCCCAACAGAGGATGACCGAATCCTTGTATCCCTGAACTCGGCCATTGCATTTCCGGCGATACTCCCTCCAGCTGCTTTGGATGACGACGCTACATTGGTTCTAGCCTCTCTCCGGAAGCTGGGCGTCGTCGTCGTCAAAACGGTATTTGCCCAAGCAACGTCGCAGTTGCCTCGGCGTGTTCGCGACGAGATGGAGTCAGCCGTCAGGTTCAGCTTTCAACGGATGATACAGATCCTCCACCATTTGAATGAAGACGGGCGCCTCCAGAACAAGTTCGGGAGGTTATCTGACGATGAGCAGACCCGAGTGGCCTTCTGGTTACGCGGTGGCCTTCGAGACATTCCTTCTGTCCGCGCCAATTCACCGAAGCCACAATTCCTCGACGTTGTCCGACACCTTCCGATCTGGCCTACCTCCCGCGGTGGTAGACCGTCTGGACTCCGCCCTCTTTCAGCTACAAGTCTTCGTGTCCTGCCGTCGAGCGTGAAGCCTGTTGATGACATCACCCGATTTCTCCTCACGGATACCAGCTTTGTCGAATGCTCCCATGATATCGTCCGCCTTCAGCTCGCCCAACCTATGTCGTCAGGAGAGCTTTTGCAGCAATTGAAATTCCCCTCCTTCTTCCGCAATTCTGACACTCTCGGTCCGTACAAAACGCTGCTCAACATACTCGTGCAGCTAGGTGACAAGGAGGTGTCGGGTCGCTTGCAGGTTCCCAACGAGAACCTCGAGATGTTGAACATTCATGCGATGTACAAAAGCGATGTCTCCGAATTTACCGCTGCCTTCACGTACAGGGCCAACGAAGTCTTCATACACAGCGACTTGCGTTCATATGAGGCACAGCTGACGTCGCTGGGTCTTCGCCACGCTCTATCATTCGAGAACTTCAAGGCATGCGTCCTAGCTATTGACAAGGACTTCAAGAGGGAGGACCTACGTGACCAGCAGAAGGCCCAATCTGTTTACGGGTGGTACTCAACCCGGCTCCCCCTATCGGTTGCCAACGACAACGACTGGCGCGGGCTGGACTCGTATGCCTTCATTCCGAGGCACCACTCTCGACGCCTTGGAAGTCCCACTGCGTCTGAAGTCGCTCAGTTCGCTGTCTCCCTCCCGCTCATCGTGTCGCCGAAGAAGATCTTGCGCCATCAATACTCCCCGATTGCTTGGACACAGCGTGCTCTGTTCCCTGAGACGCCCAACAAGAAATTGTTCCTGGCGGACGAGGCTGTAGGCGTACCGACCGTCGAAGAAGTGGTGCGTTTCCTTTGCTATGTGCATGATACCAGACTAATTTCGACATCACTTCATCGTCAGGTTGAACACCTTCACGTTCTCGCCACTAAGATTGCCCCTCGATATCCCGGCGACTCAGGTCTCTTAGACGATCTCAAGGCGACGTACGGGTACCTCAATGAACACCACGAGGATTCGCAGAGGTTCATGGTGCGATGCAGGAAGGAGGCGTTGTTCCTCAACGTCGACAATCCGGAGAGCGATTCATGGACGTTTTTGCCTGCATGTCAAATCATGCTCAATGTTTCGGACGAGGACGGATTTTGGGAAGTACGCGATTTCCTTCGACCCTTCCGGGACCTTCTAGTGGTGAGCGGTGCTTTCGAGATCAAGATTCCGAAGGCTGCTCCGCCTCCTACGACTTCAGCCGAAGGGTTGTTGATCCGGCTTCGCGCCTCTCTCGACGAGCAGCGCCGCAACAAGCTGCTGACGGACGTCATTTTCCGAATCACGGGCGAAGGAGAAGCCGGCCACGAGGGAGATCTTTGGGCTCATCGAGCGCTATTAGTATCAGCGAGCGATTATTTCAATCGGCTGTTCTGCGGACAATCAGGGTTTTCCGAGAGTCGTGCCGCGTCTGTTGAGGATCCCGTGGTCATGTCGATGGAAGACGAACTGGAGTTGCACTGTACAGGGCTTGTGCTTGGTGAGTTCTTTGAACGCTATCGAATATAGGTTCCAGCGGAGATCTCACTAGTATGCCTGCGTAGATTACATCTATACCGGGCAGTTCGAGGAAACGCAGGATCGCGAGTGTTTACTCGAAATGATGACATTGTCTCATCGCTGGGAGCTCAAAGACGTCCAAGCACATGCCGAAGCGCTGCTCGTCCCAACCATCACCCCCGGGACCTATCATGAATGTGAGTTCCCGCATTATGTTTTCTTTGCTTCATTCATCAATCGAGCTGTTGCTCTTGTAGTACGACAACGTGCTGAGGCGATTGAAGCTAAGTATCTACTGGAGAAGATCGATGAGTTTGAGCGCGACAATGCCTACGTTCTTGGAGATATGGCGTGAAACTCAGGTCCCGATGCATAGGGGCAACGATTGATACGAGAGGGTTGCGTTTTCCTGTGTACAGTATTGCTACGACATTCCATGCATGTCGATCGTGAACAAGATCTTGTAGTTCAACATGGCTGATTGATCTGTATTCTTCCGATCTGCTCGCAATACCCGTCGTGGCAACAACGCTTCCTGTACCAAAATCAACTATCGCGGGCTGTTATGACTCACAACCGCGTTGATACAGAACCGGGTCGGCTACAACAACGGAAACATTCTGCCTTACTTCGTCATGACGAACCCTCCTGCTTGGCAGCCTCTGCTGCAGAATGCGCCCCATCTTCTGATGCTGCGGTAGTCTCCGCGGGCTGGGTGTTCTTCCCTTTGCCCGGGGGAGGGGGGTGGTACACTCTGACCTGAAGAGAACGTCCGCGCTAATTCAATGAGATAGACTAAACAGCTGCCCACCTTCTTCTTTTTCTCCGGATTCGCATTAGGATCTGGGTAGGCGAGCTTTTCGACCTTCTGCCATTCCTCGTCCGCCTCGAACATCTGCCGAATCGGGTCCAGCAACCGCACAATCGCGTCCGCGACCGCCGTCTTGAGGTCCTTCGGATGCACCTTCTTCGCTGCGTAATCTGCCTCTAGCGCGTCGAAGTTGCTGTAGTGGAGCGACCCGCCATGCTCCTCCTTCCGGAAGATCGAGAACACGGTGCCCTCGGGGGCGCCCTCGAGGACGAAGGGGGTCTGTTCGCCTACGGCCCCCGCGCCCTCCTCCGCGTCCGCCCCCGTCTTTCCTTGGAGGCGCTCGATGCGAAGCTCACTGATGGGGATGAGCACGGCTTTTACGAAGGCGAGAACGCCGTTCTGGGTGGTGTTGCCCTCTTCGCAGAAGGCGCTCTTGATCTTGCGGCGGACGACCTCGGGCGGGTCTAGGAAGTCGATCTTGGAGTTCGGGTCTGAGGAGGACATCTTGCCTCCTGCGAGACCAGGGACCATAGGGTTCATGAGGTGCGCGCGCTTGCGGTAGCCGAGGCGAGGGAGGTAGAGCTCTGCGAACGTGAAGATCTTTCTCTGTGACGAGATGCGAGTCAGCCATCGAGAGACGCAGTTAGGGCTCTTCCACGACGCTGCGTACTTGGTCGACACCGCCGAATTGGAAGTCGCAGTCGAGGTATTGCTCGTCAAGAGCTTGCATGCCAGGGTAGATGAGACCGCTAAGGAGCGGACTCTCCACCTGTTTTACGACCTCGGCGCCAGCTTTCTTCGCGTCGTGCTCTGTCACGATTGTGCAGAGCTTGTAGTTGTCAAGGTTGTACTCCCTGCTCAACTGGTAGGATGATCCTTCTACAAAAAGGAGCTTTGAGGTGGGGATGCCTAGGGAGGTAAACACGGCAAGGAGAAGTTTCTTGTAGTACTGCGTTCGGTAGGCGACGAGCTCCAACGGAGCCTTGAGGTTATCTAAGAAAGCATGGACGTCTAATGATCGCGTTCTGGAATCAATATGATAGATCAATATTGTAGAATGGACAAAATCGGACCGGCTAATAGGATGGTTACGTCCACATCTGCGCGGAGGAAATCCGCGATCTTGGTAAGCGGGACGAAGTATCCGATATGGGCTAGATGACAGGGGTGAGTCGTGCCAGCTCTTGGAAAGCATACAAGTCATCAACATACGTCGTCCCGTGGGTGCGGACCCTGTCGTAACAATTTTTTCAGTATAAGATCTGAGTGTCAGTGGAAGGAACCCATATATTTACCCCAGTAGCACTTGGGCGTCTTGCCCTCGGCTAATATCGCCTTGATCAGGTCGCCGCCGAGGACCTCGTCTAGCCTGCGGGTAATGAGTTGAAACTTTTCCTCTGCAGTCGAAGCCATGGTACGCCTCGATGGTGGAGAAAGCAAGCAGTGTGGTCCGGAAGTTGAGCTGGACTGGGAACTACTTGAGAGCACGATCTTGACTCAATCTGAGTCACGTGGCGCCTATACAAATGTGATCGATCGTCCAAATTTGGTAATCTGTCTCGGCGATGTGGTTCGCAGCGCCGTGAGAGTCATCCTGACAAAGAGCAACAGAAAGCTTATAAGACCACAGAGCCCATTGTAGAATACTTATGACTCAAGTGTGTGACTCACGACACAGCGACATGGCCGTGAAGGTGTATATAGCTACATATCTACCAGAGTGGGAAATAACGTACACTAACACGAGTCGAGAACACTGATGCTCCTCCGCACACGACACCACCGAAGTACTTCCACTCATGATGTCGGTGTCGCAGGGGTCGGACGGTACGAGTCCCTCTTCCGACTGCTCTTCGTCTCAACACGGACGTATTCGGACTCCTCGTGTGTCACATCCTCGTCCTTGACTACGCTCATGTAGGCTTCGCCAAGGATTTGAAGAGCAATAGCGCGCAATTGCACCTTCGCACGGGGGACGGAGGGGTCTTCGAGCACGCGATCGCAAGTCTCGCGCAGCACCGACTCTATCTCCAGCTTCGTGCCCTACACGCAGCATCATCGTGAGCGTTATCACCGAAGAGACTAAGACACGATAACTTGCCTTGAAGAGTGCCTGCAGACCCTTCTCTGCCGCCTGCTCCTCGAGCCGTCGCTTCTCCTCTGGGGATAGGTTGCCGGCCTTCTCTGCAGCCTGGATTTGCTCGAAGACGCCCTTGAGCTCCATCGCTGCTCGCAACGTCGACACGCTAAAAACGGATGGTCAGCTAAGAGGCGGACATTACGTGACGCATAGTACGTACGTTTCGCTGAATACATGGTATTTGCCCTGTACGTTGTGCAGCCAGCCGCCCATGCCAAGGAAGGTCTGGTTCGAGGCAAGATACTGCTTGCCCTTCTGCGCGTACACGAACCCGATAGCGTGCAGCAAGTCGACGCCATACGACTCCTGCTTGAGCTCCTCCGCCTCCAGTTTGCATATAGTCCGGAAGCTTTCCGTGACTTGGGGATCGGTCGGGCTCGTCGCGGACTCAGTGAATATCGAGAGCTTGCGGTCCAGGTTCTCGACGAGCTTCTGTATACGCTCCGCGCGCGCCGCCGCTTTCTGGAGAAGAAGACGGGAGCGGCCCGTGTTGGCACACAGGCGAGTCGCTGGATGGGACGCACGACGCTCACCTCCGCTGCCTGCTTCTTCGCCTTCTCATCGCGTTTCGCCTTCTCCTCCGGGCTCAGAATCTCGCGGCCCTTCGCGTCGCGCGGGGCCTCCTCGCCCTCGCCCTCTTCCTGCAGCGCGGCCTTCATGTCCTTCGCGAGGCTGATGTGGCCGATGATGGGCACGAAACGTTCGCCGCCGAAGATGGTGCCGAAGATCTCCTCGGGGTCGACGAATCCACCGTCGGGCGCGCTCTCTTTCGGCCCGAACTCGTTGTACTTGCGGCGGAGGGCGGGGTCGGAGAGGGTCTGGTACGCGATGGCGATCTCTTTGAAGCGCTCTTCGGCGTGCGGGTCGTCGGGGTTCTTGTCTGGGTGGAACTTGATTGCCAGTCGACCTGTGACAGGTCAGCATCTGTGTATCTGATGATGCTGGAGCAGGAGGAGGGCGAGGCTTGGGTAGAGTCGCTACTCCGACTTCTAGCCAACACGCTTCCAGAGGCCTCAAGGACGTTGTGCTGAGGCAATTACTGCAGCATCGCTCAGCGCGTGTGGCTCGTGGTCAAAGTATCCATAGAGAAGTAGCATAGGACCCCGCCTCCCTGCCAGGGAACAGCAAACGTAAAATGGGACGTACGATATGCCTTCTTGATATCATCTGTACTCGCGTCCACTGAGACGCCAAGCAGATCGTAGTATCCCGTCTCCAGCGGCTTCTCCTGTGTGCCAATCTTCCTGCCCTTCCGCGCCGCTTGTGAAGACGACGCTCCGCCCCCGCTGCCACTACTCCCACTTGGGCCCGCGAGGTTGACTTGAGTGTGATACTGGCTCGGGATTTGGTTGGGGTAGAAGGCGTGCGTGATGACTGTGTGGCAATTGAAGCACTGGACGCTGAGAAACGTGCCTGACCGGGGCACTGGAGATGGGACGGGAAATTCTAGGGAGACGGAACATTGCGAGCAGCTTGTTGGGATGTGTGGTACGAGAGGTCGGGACTGGATCGTTGCGTTCATGACGAGTCGTAAGCAGTGATTCAGTACAGATGCAGCGTTGGTGGATGCGATTGTCCTCAGTGAATGGTAATCTCTATCGGCTGTTCATGGGAGGTGCCCAGAAGGAGAGGACAGGAGGAGTGAGACAGGCGAGACGACTCGAAGAAGCAAGCTCAGCTGAAGACAACTTGAAGCGCCGCGAGAGGAGCGCGCGCCCTTCCTGCATCCGACCACAACCACAACGTGCATACCATGTTACCGGCGTACTAGTACTTCGAGCTGACGGTCTGGTGACGATCCGCATTCAGCCTGTGCCCAGAACGCTGCGTTTCTGAGCCCAACGCGGCGCGTGGGCTCACTGTGTTACTCTAGGTCATCTTGTCAAACTCTCTCTCGACTGGATGTGCTACGTATGAGGATGTAATCGAAGTATGCTCTATAACAATCTTTCGTTGCCTTCGATTGACGCGGCTAATAGAATCAAACTAGGGTTTGACCGGCTAGAGAGGGACGTTCTTGCTATTCGTTTCCGCTCGGCTGGCGCGATTGACTCTTCGACATGGTGGATCTTCTATGCATGCAGAAGGAACTCGTGTGATTCGGCCTTGTAGGTACATGGCTTCCTGCCGAGGTAGAGCGCTGTCCTGGGAGGGGCGATTACCGCAGCACACGCACAGGCTCGATCGAGAATTGACAGAATCTAATCATGCAGTAAGGTATATATTGTTCGGTCAGCGGAGAGTCCTTCTCTTGTAACTATGATCGAAAGGACGAACCCCCAGAGGACCTTCGGAGACTTTGAGAAATATACGTCGTACGTTACCTGATCTCATTATCCTTATGCTGCGAACTGATCTGGGCGGTATAGTCGAAGAAAGTCTCGTCCCTGTGGTTCACAAAGGATCGCTGTAGCAAGTGCGGCACCTTTGCTGCTAGCGGCTTGAAGAATTGCGCCAAATGTCATGGGGTTGCCGGATCGTACTGCGTACGTCATCCTATCCCGGGCTTCAAAGCCTTTCCTAGACTCATGTACTTCTGTATATACGTCCCTCAAGTCCAAAGAATGTCAGATCGCTCACTGGAAGGTCCATAAGCCTGTCTGCCGACCACTCGCCCCCATTCAGTTCTGGGGCATCAAGATACTCGACAACAGCCATGGTCCCTGGAGTCGTCGAATCGAACACGTCCTCATGGACACCGTTCACCCCATATTCTCCAAGGGGGAGCTCTGTCCGATCACGGCGATATGCGGCTATCCTCTTCTCATATATAGCGAACGCATCCATGGCGGAATGAGGGCAAAGGACGATAACCAGCCCGCGGTGTACCTGCGCATCGAGCCCGACAATGGGTTTGCTCCAACGCAGTGAGTGCCTCGACTTTGGTTTGCACCTTGGTGATGTAGCATTGAGCGATCTATGCGAAGTTGGCAATTGGACGATAACGGAACTGTGCGTCGGTTTTGGGCGCTGGTACAGGCTATGATTGTCAAGTGCTGACTTTTCCCAAAGTGCTACGTCATCCGGGCAGACCGCAGGATGTTGACGAAGGAAGCGATCGAGATTGTCTACAAGTTCCATAGTCATCTACTTAGCGAGATAGATGACGAGCGGCGCGGCAAACCGCATCCGTGTTGGCTGAGACCGCTTGGCCCTGAGTGGCTCCGAGAGTTTGCCGATGAGTATAGGAAGAAGCAGATAGCTGAAGGACGGCCTGGATTTGATTTCTTTCCTTGATCGGGATTCATTGTTTCTGTACGACGTCAGCTTATGTGCGCATATATGTCTGCAGAGGGTTGCAGCGGGTACTATAGCCCGGTATCGAATACTTTCTAGGAAGCGTAGCTCAGCGGTCCGACAACAAAGATGCTCAGAATGGAGTGCTTGGTTTACTGCCGACGCACGTACTTACATACTCTCAGGATGGACTTGCCGACATGCGCCATTCGCGATCTTACATTGGCCTTCAGGGACATTGTGGTTACATGAAAGAGGTCAGACATATTAACAACCTTGGGGGCAGACTTCGTTGACCAGTCACAGGTTCTAGATGCATGTCGAAATGCGATCGTCGCATCATCATGTATGCGGAGTTTGGCAAAGTAGACAGTATCCGAGTCGGCGGAAATCCGGTGCTAGTCCAGTCATCCAATACCACGACCCGCCGCCGTTCGTCAGGGAGCGACTCGTTCCAAAAAAAAAATCCATCACCAAAGACGTCAGCTTTGAGTTAACCTTGGTATGTCTTTCCCATTGTCTAGATTCCTATACATACATCGTGATGACGCTGGGTAATGTCTGGAGTCGACCTCCGATCTCCCGCATATACTAATTCGACGCTGCTAAGCGCTCACATGCCATTCTGCTACCCAGCTAGTGCGTCTTGGAATGCGGACCATCCGGAGGTAGCCCTTGTTCGCCGAAGCGTCTCAGTTTCACCATAATGGAGCGTATTCCGAGGTGTCGAACCCGAAGGTAAGTTGGTCAGCTCATCTCTGAGATGAAAGTGACGAACGCCCAATTCACCACACATCATTAGACAGAGGCTCTGTGGACAGCGCCGCCTAGCTACCATGTATTCGCTTAAGACAGCCTACGTTAAGTCCGCGAACGGCGGATATGAGACTACCCCTGCCCCGCCAGCACATCTATAGGCTTGAGCTATTAGGAGGGGAACGGAACAGAATATGCCGGGACATATCCCGAGGACGGCGGAGTTAGTCTGGCTGGGTATCAATTGACCTATCATCCTTGACTCTTAGGTCTACGGTCATTCTCTGCATATATGGGGACTCGCAGTTGCTCTGTTGAGCTCACCCTCGTCGCTCCTCGCTCTCGCATCCCATCTGACACACTACAACATGTCGCACGGCAAGCACTTCACGCTGTACACCAATACCATAGCCCCGAATGGCTGGTTAGTTCTTCCCTTGCCTCAGTCCGTCTTCTGTCTTAGATTACCCCTTACCCCGCCCACAGGAAGGTAGTCTTCGTGCTCGAAGAGCTCGGGCTCACGTACGAGTCCGTTTACCTCAACTTCGACGAAAACGAGCATAAATCACCGGAATTCACCAAGCTCAACCCGAATGGCCGCATCCCTGCCCTCTTCGACCACAAGAACGGCGACTTCGTCATCTGGGAGTCGGATGCCATCATCCTCTACCTCGCGGACAAGTACGACACCGAGAGACGGGTGTCTGTCAGCGATGAGAAGGAGAGATACTCTCTCATCGAGTGGCTCTTCTTCCAGGCATCAGGACAGGGGTCTGTATCCGTCACTTTCATTATGCCTGCGGCCAATACTGAATGCTTGAGTAATACAGCCCGTACTTCGGTCAGGCTGTGTGGTTCCTCCGCAGCCACCCTGAACAGGTCCCGAGCGCCATCGAGCGGTACCGCAAGGAGGTGCTCCGTGTTTTCTCCGTCCTCGACTCGGTGCTGTCCAAGCAAGAATGGCTCGTGGGGGACAAGCCGACCGTCGCCGACATCTCCTTCATCCCGTACAACCACGGCGCATTCCACTTGATAATCAAGGATTACGCCGGCGTCGATGTTCAGAAGGACTATCCGGCGTTTTTCGCGTGCGTACCAGTTCTTGGCGCCTTTCGATGGAGCCGCATCGACTGACGTTGACTGTCACGTACGACTACCTATAGGTGGCATCAGAAGCTGATATCTCGCGATAGCGTGAAGAAGGCCTTCGCTATACAGGAGTCCCTGAACAAACATTGAGGCGGGAGAGTGGTTACCGGTCAAAGCCCCCGAACGAGTTCGAGAGAAAAGCATGTATAAGCCCTTGACTATACGTATCGATGCTCACGGCGGTTCAAGCTGTTGGGGTGCAAGCGATCGATTTTAGTAACGATCTAGGCAGATGCGCTATTTGAGTTTGGAACTGCTATCCAGAGGTGAGCTACTTATACAAAGGTTGGGTTGTCTGCAGTGCGTCCAGGAAGCCTGTACTAGGGATGTCGTGATGTGTCGTGATACCGCGCTATGAACTGAGTGCCCTTGGGATGTGGATGTAGAAGACGACGGACCTGCTAAAGCCCCTCATGATGCCCATCATGCGAAGCAACAAACGAAACTGTTGAAACACTACTACTACGGACGTCAATGGATCATAGGCCTCACGGCTCAACACCCTGTGCACGCTTTTCTCCATCAGAAGGTGGTTTGATCGGCAGGTCTCCGGTGGGCGAGTATCGGCTCTTAAGCCGTAGTTTGTGGCCATAAGCCCTGAGGACGAAGGGAATCGGCGCCAGCGCGGTGGCGATGAAGCCCAGCAGCGTCGACGCCCACCGAGGATCGAGTTTATTGTACAATTGGTACGCGAAGAGCGGGAAGCCCGCACCGAACGTAGAACGTACGACGGTCATCGCTGATAGCGCAGAGGCGGCCATGAAGAGGTACGCGTCGATCGTGTAGTTGAAGAGGCCAAGGAACAGGAAGACGATCGACCCGCCGAGCGGGAGCCCAGCGAGCATCGGCGCCCAGAAGGAGACGCTGCGGAAGGACGTCCAGCCGAACCAAAAGAAGGCGGCGGCGAAGAAAGGTGCCGCGACCATGCAGACCTCGAGGCGGTACTCTGGAGGCACTGGATTGGGTGCGAACTGCTTCACCTTACGCTCGTAGCGCGGGTTGAAGTATACTAGGTAGAGGATGACCCCGAAGCAGCCGCCGATGAAGACGGGGAGAAAGGTGAGGCCGGTGAAGCCCTCGTCGAAACCATGTAGACCTGCGAAGACGACAGGGTATGCTTCGAAGAGGAGGTAAATGCAGCCGTAGATGAACTGTTGGTACGAAGGATCAGTACGGGCTTCAACACCTTAAGATCAACTATACGTACACTCATGTATAAGGTCATTGCGATAAGCATGGGTTCGTATATCAATACGACGAATGGTCGAGCGAGGACTTTCTTGAGACGCTGAAACGCTGTCCCATCTTTCTTCTCCAAGGGAGCCCAATACCTGCTGTCCCCAGTCTCCTTCCGCAGCTTCTTCGCGCGACGAACAAGCAACACTGGTCTATGTAGACATATGGTTAGTACACAATCGGATGTACACGTAGATCCACGCACGCATATGTTTCGGGGAAGGTCAAAATGACCAATATGAGCACAGTCCCCGCGAAGCATGTCAGCAGCCAGAATACCCAGCGCCACGAGACTCCAGCGTTCGCCATGAATCCACTGCAAACGGGTCCAAGCGTCGGTCCAGCAAATGGAGCGAGCGTGAACACTGCTAGAGCCTTCCCTCGAATGTCTGCATCCCACATGTCAGAGATGACGGCACTGGAATCGCGATCAGTCCGCTTTCCTGAGACGACATATGACTTCAGTTGCGCACCCGCTATTGGCGAGAGGTGCAGCGGCGAAGGTGCCGCTCAAGAAGCGGAAAACCAGGATTTGCGCGGTGGTCTGTGACAGTGCGCAGCCGACCTGGAATCCGGTATAGACGAAGAAGGTGACTACGAACACAGGCTTTCGCCCGACCGACTCGGAGAGGGGTCCCCATACAAGAGGCCCCACGCAGTAGCCAGCCACAAAGAGGGAGATGGTCAGTGTCGCAACCTCCCTGCCGAAACCGAATTTGTTCTCTAGCATTGGCTCAGCGCCCTCCGGGATGGACGACGCGAACGTTCTACGCAGCAGGACGTCAGTCCGGTGAAAGTTCGTAGCGTCGACGGGGAGGAGAGTCACTTACGCATTGAGCAGGAGCAACGCCGAGAGGGCTGTGACGTACCACCGATATACCTTCGACCAAGTCTTGGGGTTGTCTGGATCATTCGGCCCCATCTTCACCTCATACAAATCCTGATCGCGAGGTTTCTGAATCCGGTCCTCGGGCCCGGGCGCGTAGCTCTCCCTGTCGACATCTTCATCGCCAGGGTCTGATGCGGTATTTTGTGGTACATCGGTGGGCTCAACGACGGTTGTCGTTCCTGACTTTGCACTGTCTTTGACAGAGTCTGGTCGGCCTAAGTGCGAAGACGATTCGTGCGAAGTAGATCGGCGAGCGTCCGCATTCATGACTATCACCTTTCACCTTCGGTCGGTCGGATCCAGGAAACGGAGAAGTTGGTTCACAAGCAGGATGAGGGTCGAAAGGGGATGCAGAGAAGTACGATCTCCCAGTTATATGTGAGTTCAGAGGCCGCAGAGAGAGAGAGAGATCCGTGGTAGGCCGTGTTGAGGAGCAGTCGGTCCGAGAGCGTTGCACACGGGTCATTCGGTCGCGTCAGCCTCACGAAGCGTGTAGTCCTCTGGTATTAGCTCTCCGATACCTCAACGGACTCACTGTACAATCGGTCTCCCGGAGCCGTCTCCGGCGCACGCTCCTGCTCCAACATACGTCAGCCTCAGTCAGCAGCGGATATGGAGGAGATCATCGAGCTCACCATCTCCATTAGAGGGGAAACACTCCCACTGTGTGAAACAACTGCGGAAGAATATGCTACCCATGTGGATATCGAGTCGCTTCGCTGTCCATGTCAGCCCCGACGGCGTGCGCGGCAGTGGCGGGCGGCGACGATGAACGGCAGTTCCATTCCTGAAGTGAGTCCCTTGAGCATCCGCTCCTAGAGACCACCCTTGAAGTGAACAGGGAGAGATGTTAACACGGACGAGGACGTCTACGTCGTCCCCAGGGCTCTGCCAGGTGACGCAAGTCGAAGGTCCGAGTCGCGCGGCGGATGTGTAACCGGCGCTCCTATTTCCAAAAATGGCGCTGACTAAGCAACAGAAGAGATTTCGCGGTTCGGAGTTGCCGTCTTGAGGCTGCGGAAGTTGAGCTCACGCTGTCAGATGGGACTCATTGCCATCGAGCTGCCCCGGACTCCCGGGATGCAACTTATCACATCGCTTGAATAGCCACCGCCGTCGTCCGCACTCTATATCAGTGTGACTCGATTCTCTTTCTATCATGCTAGTTTGAGCAGAGACCCGAACCAAAGCACGTAGTACGTGGACGCATTGAATCACACACTCCTTACACTTACGAGCGCGAGGCACGTAGACCGTCAGCCAGCATTTCCAGTCTCTGGTCAGTTTGTGAATGCGCATACGTCATCTCATCCAACGATCCCCTACCAAAGTCGGCGACGGAGGCTGACATCCCGTTGATGCCGAGGTTAAGTGGCCGCCCTTTTGGGCACTCACTCACCGCCGTCTCTGCATCTCGGATCCCATCTGCATACTGCCGGACAGTACAGTCTATCTCTACCCCGCTTTGAGCATAGCAGGCGTCGCTGTGGCTTACTCCTTTCCGCTCCCATTTTCCAAGATGGATGTCTACACCTTCGAGCCGGTCACATGCAGCCTCGTCACGCAACTCCCCGGGGAGTCAACCTCACAGCAGGTGACACCAGAAGCGCTGGTAACTGTCCGATCATCCTCGAACATAGCTGTGCCATCGTCGGTGGACACTCCCAGTGTCACCGAGAAGGTCGTCATCCGCCGCGGACGAGCCGTCTACGTCGTCGCGAAGGTATGCCCTGCTACTGCAGCTGACGACGAAGACCTTGGTTCGGAGCGCGGGGATAGCGTACCGGCTCCCCTGAGAAGCACTCTACACAACTGTGACGTCCGGCAGGCGAGACGGCTAGTTATCGAAGTGCACAGCTTGATCTGCCAACTCGACGCCGTGGCCCCGACAGCCCAACCCGATCACGAAGGGTATGTAAAGATTGAGTTGTGTCTTCTGAGTTGCGCTGAACTAATGTCATTAATAGCATATTGGACTCTGAGAGCGCTCCGGACGGCAACGGCGACCTGGAGGTCAAAGACAGGGACGGTCTTGCTGGGTCGCGCGACGTGGCTTTGCTCTGTTCCCCTCCTGCAGCTGATGCGGACTCGACATACCATTCTGCATCGGAGATGGAAAGCGTATGCGTGGGGTCGGAGCCCTACCGATCACTGTTGTCAATTTCATCCTTCGGCTCGGTCACTTTTGACCCTCCGTCTGCGACCACGCCCTACTCGGGAAACATGACTGAGTCTCTTTCCACCTTGGCACTGTATGGTCTACCTGTGGCTCCATCTCATGATCCCCTAATGGCCTACGTCTTTGAGTCAACTCCGTCGCTTGCCTCCAAGGTGTCTCACTGTCTCGACGACGCTGGACTCTGCGACAATGCGCTCACAGGCCAAGTCATCTCGAATTCCTCACAGGTCCCAGCATTCCGGCCTAGCGACTATTCTGCCCTCTCTACTGCGCTTGACGAGACACTGGTACGAGCCCCTGGGCTGGGAACCTCTGCAACAGGATCCGCGAGCGGGTCGACTGCCTTATCTCCCGTACACAAAAATGGGTTCATCCGTCTCTGTTGGGGCGACACATACGAGCTGCAACCGCGCTACGACAGCAACGTGCCAGCTATCGTTCCCCTCGAGCAGAGTCGCAGCCTCCCAGAAGCCCCCCCTGTCGTACCCACTATCACCGCCGCGGAGTGGTCACCCAGCCGGGGTCTGGCTATTTTGGCTGCTGCTGAGGACGGGACTGCGGACATCTCTATGGCGGGCTCTTGCTCATCTATGGGCAGCTTGTTCTCTGAGGCGTCGGATGCAAGTGTCGATTCCGACAGCGAGTCGGACGAAGAACCGCTACGGGACACTGTCAGGCGACTCCATGCCAACCGCAGGTCAACACAGGACCATCTAGGACATGTTTCATCCGCTGCGGGGCCTGACCACTATGTATCTCCGCATACCGTCGAGACTCGACAACTGGATATGCCTCCCGCTGCAACGTCCACGTGGAATTTTCGAACTGCTCCTTGCCCCTTAGTCAACCGCAAGCGCAAGCGTGAACATGACGAAAGGGAGGAAGGGGAGATCTCCGAGTACGAATCTGACTCCGACAGCGAGCCCGACATCCCCCTCGCCGCGGTGATGGCGCTCCGAAAGGCCAAGAACCGCGACGTCCGGCCGCCGCCTGCGAAGAAGCTCAAGGTCACTCCGATGGAGTCCCGCCGACTCTCGGCGACGGGCGCCAGGCCACGCAGGTCGTGGGCGCACAAGCGGTGGGACGAGAGGTTGAAGCAGAAGCATGCGCGGGCTCAGAGTGACGGGCGGCGAGGGATCCGGATCGTCTCGACGGAGATGCAGTTGCTGGTCGGGAGGGTCAATCCGGAAGGCGGGAGTCGTTGGGTGTGGAACGGTCTGCGAGGCGCTGTTGCATGAGCTGAAGAGGTGCCCTGTATTGCGATGGTGACTGCTCACTAGCACTGTCGCGGTCTCATGTGTAGTGAGGCTTGCAGGGACAACCCGCGGAACCGTACGGCCGTCTCTTGTGGCAGTTCCAACCTGTTTTGCCATGACTGTTGGCAGCCGGCGCGGTGGGGTTGTCAGTACTATATAATGCATCCATTTTTTCTGTGAGCCAACCGTCAGGATCACGACCTCTAGTCCATCATAGAGCCCTTGTGTGGGATCGTAGCTATCCTCCATACTGATGGGTGATCTCGCTACCGATGCCCCATGCCAGTGCATTGTAACGGCAATCGGGACTCTGCCACAGCTGTTGCTGAAGGTTTTCCTGCGCTCATAGTAATCGCACTGTTTTAGCGGCGCAAACTCAGGCCGACGTTACAGCGTCCTTCGCGAGAAGAACTCACTGAGTTGGACTTGCTGGCTTTGGGACTGCAACACGCATTCATCCACGGCTGCGAGAATAACGTGCGCGTGCGAGTATGTTTGCGTGGTACGGAAACAGTTCTCCATTGTACTGGGCTAGCATAACTACGGGGCATCATCGGCTTATGCCCCTAGACTGCTAACCTCTACTCCAATATTCCGCACTTGCTCGATGTGCCATCTCCGGCCTTCGCCTCCCCCATGTCAGTCGATGTTCTTTCCGCGAGGTTTCAAGATCACGGGTAGATGCTCGCGAACCGTAACGAAGTAATCCTTTAGGCCGCCCTCATAATCGGTTATGTCCCAACCCTGGCGCGGCCGCAGCTTGAAGCGCTGCAGCAGCGCACAGACGACCATCCTCATCTCCTGCATCGCTAATCCCTTCCCGACGCAGTTCATGGGACCGTAAGAGAACGGAATGAACGCGCCCTCGTTGTGCACATGCGCTGCGCTAGCTTCCTTCCATTCGGGAAGCCAACGCTCCGGGAGGTATGCTTCGGGCGACGGAGAGAAGTCCCTGGGGTCACGGTGAATCGAGTAGGCAGGTACCCAGAAGGACGTCCCGGGAGGGATATACCTGCGCACAATGCTTGAATCAGACCAACGTGTCATGTGAGCTACGAGGAACACCCACAGCGACTCTACCGTGATGCCTTGACCGTGAGAAGGCACCTTGCGTTGGGTAGTAGAAGGAACAGCTGAGAAGAGACGAAGCGTCTCGTTGCTGAAACCGGAGTGAGTGATGACACATCCTGCATTCGGAGAACTACCCACATGACCGCAGTTAGGTAGTGCATCTCTTGATGATGTTTCGTATGCACAACCTCTCCAGGGGGATAGAATCTGTCAACCTCTTCTTGTAGCTGCTTGTACACAGCCGGGTAAGTGAGAAGGCAGGCGACGACAGCTGTCAGCGTAGTCGCGATTGTATCCGAGCCCGCGACCATGGCAAGAATGCCATCGCTGAGGATTTGGTCTATCGTTGGCCGAGCATACTTGGAATCTTGAACATCCTCGTGGCTCTACGATGGTGACCCTGTTTAGTCACGTTTCGAAAAGCACTAGGCATGTCAGGAAACGCTCACGATATAGTAAAACAAATCTGGAGTAGTAGTGCCTCGCTGCATGCGGCGCACAGCCTGGACTCTACACTGTTCGATGAACATCTTGTGCCCATTCGGAATGGGAAGACGCCCCACAAGCACGCCGAGCCATGGTACGTGCCCAAAGAATGTCGCCGGTCTGCACAGAGATCCGTGTGAGTGTGCTCGATGACGAATGATCCTACCAAACGTACTTCGCCTCTTCATTCAAAGAAGACCAGAAGTCTGTCTTTTCTCCATCGAGAAGGTTCGAGCCACCTCCCAATCTGTTTGGCAGTCTCGTCAATGTCCCATGCCACACTCATATATCTTGGTCTGACAATCTAACACGTACGCCATATCCGACATGAAGTCATACCTAGCGTGGCCGGCACAGGATACTCGTCAGCGAAGGGACTGCTGTGGTCGGCCGAGACCGTAACTAGACTCACGTGAAGCGGTTGAACCATTCGTCGATGTGGACCTCCCCCTTCTGTTCCTGCAGACGGCTTACGAGCTGGTTGACCCTGAGCGCCATCTGCTCTTCGTACTCCTTCAACGCCTTTGACGTGAGCCCACGGGCCCAGGCTCGCCTACGTCGTAGGTGGTGTTCGGTATCCGGTATCGAAAGCAGGTCAGGATCCTTTTCGGAAAAGTGTCTGCCAATATGATCTGGGCGATATCAATTTGTTAATTTCCACTACTTTCCTGACTTTGCGAACGAGTGCACACTCACGAGGTCCCTTGGGCATGCCAGACGCGCCGAGTAGAGCGGAGATTGCCGAACCCCTGCGGATCGACAGGTTGTTCGGACCTACACACCGTTAAGTTAGGCCAGGTTGAACCAATTAGACACCGGAGAGACGTGGTATGCAAACGGACCGATCCGGACCACGTCCCCGTAACGATCGTGGAGAGACTTCACGTAGCGGTGCTGCGTCCCACTGGTGCTCTTGTACGCAAGCCAGAGTGCGGAGACTTTGCATAACAAAGGACCAGGATAGCGCGCCAATGGGTGCAGTGGTGAGAGCCGGTAGGCTACCATCGTTGCAGTCAGCCCTGCCAGATACAGCACAAGGCTTAGGAAGAAGCCGCCGAGTATGGCCGAAGGCGAGGGTTCTCCAGGAGTGGATATCGCGGTCAAAACCGCGGGCGGGAGCAACAGGACCAGCGCGTAGAAGGAAAAAGAGTAGGTCTCATAGAGACGGAGGACTTGATGTGCGAGCTACGTTGTTGGCATAAGGATAATGAGCCTGTCTACACCCATTATGAGAGGCAATCGAATGCACTGACCAAAGACAAGAGTAGCACGAAAGGCACAATATTGAGCTGAGCGGATGACTCCATCTCCTCTGCCATGCCCTTGGTACGACGTAAGCCTGTGAGGTATAGATGCCAGGGAAAGCACACCGGGACTGAGGCTAGACACTGGTGGAATATAACTAATGGGAGAAGCGCTCTGGAAAGGAGGGAAAGCGGCGCTGGAAGGGAGCCATACGTCAGCTATGAGAATAGAGACCGACAATGAGGGACTAGCTGACGCCGTCAGGGCACGAAAACACGCAAGCGATTGGCCGTCTGCTCATCATCGTTCACAGGCTTTGGAAAAAAGGCGATGATCGGGATAGGTACGTATGCGTTGGATCGCCACTTGCCCAGATGAAGTCACGGCGCGGTCGACTTGCGAGTGGTTCAACCCCCTTCACCGTGACCAAGATGATGACTACGCTTGGACTGCGGAGACGTGGAGGAAGCAATCAGGTTCGCGCGCGGCAGTCGTCCGCGGCTATTGTGGGCCACGACAACATTAGGACCCGCGGAATATGGTACGAGGTCGATGCCTACACAGTGTCAGGACAGTACGGCGTAGAACGTGGGGAGTCGTCTCAGTGTTCGATGGGGGCATGTGGCGCACAGAGGCAGACCGGCGAGAGGTCGCAAGGGCTGCCAACGATGTCAACAGTTTCTCGGTTACTTCGTGGGGGGGGGGCGCATTCGGGTGCGGGCATACCGTAAACGAACGAAGATTGTAGTCATCCGTGTTGTGACTGGATTAGTACGCAGGCACAGTGCGCAGTGCGCCGAGTCTTCTCCATACATTGCGAGCCCCGACCGCAAGGATGCGGTCCAGAACTAGAGCTGCTTGTGCGGGCGGGCGGGCAGGCGGGCGGTCCAGAAGAGGGACGGTACGCGTCATTCAAAATCCTGCTACAGTACTGCCAGTGGTTTGTCAACGGCGGTCTGGATGATAGTATACAGTCTTACTCACTGAACGCACGAATATTTGCACCTGATGGGCACTGTGCCCTCCTACACAACAGCTATGAGCCGGGGCTCGCGAGGCCGATGGAACGGTGTTAGAAGTTTCCGTTGACGTCCCGGCGACCCTTCCGTATGTCATCAGCCAGACGGTGAAGCAGAGCGACGGCGGCTCGGTCCGACTCAGAACGCTTCGATTTCGACAAGAGTGGGAATATTCGTAAAGTAGAATGACAGTCGAACTTCTGGATAGTACGGGAACGGGATCGTCAGATGGCGGAGGCTTCAGCTGACGTACGAGCTCAAGGTGAACTTCTCGGCGAACCTGATGACAGCGGCTGTTCGCCGAGTCCGCCCGCCCTTAGCTGCAGACCCGCGCCAGGGAGGGCCGCGGCGATTCTGGACGAGACGAACGTCTTTTTGAGGCGGTCGAGGACTCGTGTATGACAGCGGAAGCACACGTTTGTGTGCCAGTGCCAGCTGTGTGGGATTGACGGGACGAATCTGAGGGTGAGTATCGTCAGAAACTCCGACCGATGAGCTGGCAGTTTGGTTACCTGTCAGTAATAACAGGGTAACTAACAGTTTGAAAACAGGTACGGGGAAATGACGGCCAAATGGACGCACACGTCGACATGGAACACCTGTCTGTTTTGGTATACAAGCGCCCACACAGCGCCTGTGCGCACGGACAGACAACTGTTACAGTCAATGAGTCCCAGCGAGAACCTACATGGGTTCAGCTGTTTTACATTGGTGAAAGTCGTGTAAGAGCGGTTGAGGTCGGGAGGTCTCGATTCAGATTGGGCGGACGGATTTAGGCGCTCATTACTCGTCTTTTATTTCCCTCACGGCGGCCGGGTCAGACGTGCATGTCCTTACACCGGTGACGTCGACGTGTCTCTGACTTGTCTCGAACATTTCTCTAAGGGCCTGTTCGGCAAAGAGTTGGAGTTAGAGTTACCGGCATTTCATGCCCAAATATAGTAATAATATCTCGGTTTTCAATCTCGAGAGAACTCGAGTTACTCAGGCGAGTGCATGCGTTCGGATGCCTCCCAGTAACTCCGGGCGGTTGTTATCAGAGCTCACGCGCACGTCGTAACTTGTCTCGAGGCTCTACCCTTTTGGCAGCCTGCTTGATTCTCTCTTTCTAGAGTATTGGGATGGCTACCATGATCGACGTGGAATGTGATCAGACATCTGAGGCCATCCTACTTGAGGCCTGAGGGATTAGAGCAGCTACTACCGAGGCCCGCCTAGTCAAAACAATGACAGTTACTGCTATTATAGCCTGTCTTCGGCGCTCTATATGAGCCCGATATTAGGTTGGTGAATTTTGACAGCTGCTCTTGTGCGGACTATGGTGAAGCAGGGATGAAGCAGAGCCCATCTG